CGCGTGAAGGGCTGGCCAGCCCCTGCCGGGGCATCCCCGCTGAGCTTCGTGCTGGTAGGGAGCCCCATGGGCACACTCAGCCATGCTTGCCAGCCCCTGCAAGCTCTGGGCTGGTGGTTGGTTGGGAGGATCATTCAGTACAGACCCCACCCTCCGCTCTGCTCCCTGCCCTGCTCACTGCCTCAGTTTCCCCTGTGCTCACTGCCCCTCACCACTGGCTTCCCTGCACACCAGAGCAGGGGCTGTCTGGTGCTGTGGTGGTGCCATGCTTGGCACAAGGCTGTTTGGATACAACCCCTGTCTCCCTCACTCTCCTTGATGTTTTGCTCCCCTAGACATCTAACACGCTGTCCTGGGCCCTGTACCACCTCTCCCGGGACCCGGGCATCCAGGAGACCCTGTACCAGGAGCTGAAAGCCGTCGTGCCTGCTGATCGTTTTCCTGCTGCTGAGGATATCCCCAAGATGCCAATGCTTCGGGCTGTTATCAAGGAGACCCTGAGGTACAGCCCAGCCTTTGCCACTGCCTCAGGGTCTCGATCACCAGCTTTTTTCCTAGGGGCACTCCCTTCTTCTCCTACACCAGGGGATGTACCAGCCAGGCAGGGAGCAGGGCTGGATTTCAGTCCCACAGGGCTGCCTCCATCTTCCCCCTCCCTGAGTAGGGAGATGGAGCTGCTGAGCAACAGGAGATGCTCCCCCTTGTCCTGCCCGTGGCTCTCTCCCTCTGCGCTCCCCAGGTATGTCCTGCTCCCCCATTAACTCTCCCCAAATCCCAGGGTCTACCCCGTGGTGCCCACCAACGCCAGGGTCTTCTATGAGAAGGACATTGTCATTGGAGACTACCTCTTCCCCAAGAATGTGAGTGGGTGCTGTGCCGTGGGGACCCCTGCTGTGCTCCGTGGGGCCAGGCAGGTCATTAACCCCCTTCTTGCTCCTCAGACCCTCTTTGTCCTGGCGCACTACGCGATGTCCCATGACGAGACTTACTTCCCCGAACCTGAGCGGTTCCTGCCCCAGCGCTGGCTCCGGGGCCATGGTTCCCCTCACCACCCCTTCAGCTCCATCCCCTTTGGCTACGGGGTCCGTGCACGGCCGCCGCATCGCCGAGCTGGAGATGCACCTGGCCCTCGCCAGGGTGGGTAGAAATCTCCTCACCCTGGATAACTCACCATGAGCTGGGATGGGGGCCCCAAGGGGTCCCCAAGGGTTCCCTGAGGCGCTGCCACTCCTCCTTTT